TGTATTTATGCATGGTGTGGGTTGGGACTAGATGGCCCTTGTGACCTCTAGGATTCTTTGATTTCTAGGATTCTTTGATTCTATGATTCTGAAAACCCTGGATCAAACCAAAGGCCTATCTATCTTGTCTTCTACAGTGGCAAATCTACATTAAGTGGGAAATCTTTGACGCTCCAAATATTTTTGAACAGCAACTTTAAAACATTTGTTACAATTGTCAATACTGGTTGGAGATACAAACCAAAATCTTGAAGATCAAACTTTCCTGATTCCTAACCTATATGAATCCCATAAACAGGGTACAATTACATTAGCAGCCTTCTACCCATGGCACCTAGCAACTGTCTCTCATTCTAGAAGTTATATATATGGTAACTGCCAAGGTAAATATTGGTCTTTCACTTGCTTTAACTATGGTTTTATAGCTGTACTATGTTTTTGTGTGGGGGTCATAATTTCTAGGAACAAAACAATTGTGGAGAGATTGTGCAAATGAAGACTGGCAGATTGTGGTAGCTGTGTATTCAGCCTTCTGTTTAACATTATATGAATGGACTTGCTAGGGTAGGGAGTGGGGAGCTTCCTGGATGATGTCTAGCTGGTATTAATGGGGGGGGGGGGGGGGGGAGAGAGAGATATAAACCACATGCTTACTGTACGTTGGCCTCAGAAATTTATTTATTTATTTATTTATTTATTTATTTACAGCTTTTATATTCCGCCCTTCTCACCCCGCAGGGGACTCAGGCGGATTACAGTGTACACATATATGGCAAGCATTCAATGCCAATTTTGGCTTACAACATATACAGGCATACACATACAGAAATCTGGAAACCAAGCAAATATCTTCTAGCTATTTATTTGGCTCAGTCATTTTAGATATTTAGAATATAGGACAACCAGAGCTAGAAGAGGGATAGATAAAACTACAGTGCAAAAATAAAGACTGGATTGAATGTCAGAGACAGCCAGCATTGACACCATATTCTGACACAGTGCTTTGAAAGCAGAAGTGGTACTATTTGTAGGATCATGGAAGTGACTTGAAGAGTGTAGGTCTGTTATGCTTATATCTGCAAGGCCTCCCTAATGCTGCTGCTAGTGCAGCCTATGGGGCCTTCCCACTGCTGCTTTGACTGTACTTTTCTTGCAGGGCAAAACCAGATTGGACTGGGTGGCCCCTGAGGTAGCTCTTATTATTCCTACCATCATCACCACCACCACCATCACCATTGCAAGGGCTGGATGGCCATCTGTTGGGGATGCTTTGACTGTACTTTGTTGAAAGGTTGGATCGGATGACCCTTGAGTTGCTCCCATTACTACTGTTATTACTATTTGAAACACAGCAAGATGAGTCCACAGCAGACAGGATCACTCTGCTGGCTGTTGTATTGGATCACACGTCGGACACTTCCCAAGTGTCTAGGACTGTGAGATGTATCGGCAAATAATGTATGCAGATCCCAATAAGGTGGTCTTCTGCAGCTGGCAGATAGTAATTTTGTCAGCCCCAAATGTGTTTAAGTGCAGGCCAAGGTCCTTAGGCACTGCACCCAGTGTGCCAATCACCACTGGGACCACCTTTACTGGCTTGTGCCAGAGTCTTTGCAGTTCGATCTTTAAATCCTCATATTGTGTCAACTTTTCCAGTTGTTTCTCTTCAATCCTGCTGTCACCTGGGATTGCATCATTGACGATTATTATTATTATTATTATTATTATTATTATTATTATTTCAAAGACTGGATAGTCATCTGTTGTGGGTGCTTTGATTAGTGTTTTTACTACCAGGCAGGTTGGACTGGTTGACTTCTGGGATTGTTGTTGTTGTTGTTGTTGTTGTTGTTGTTGCAAAGGCTGGGTGAACTCTGGGGTCTTCCACTGAAATACTGTTAAGTTTATGTTGATTAAAATTGTTCTTTATTTTAAATATTGTATTATTCTTTCTTTCTTTCTTTCTTTGCACTACAAACAAGTTATGTGCAGTGTGCATAGGAATTTGTATATGTTTTTTTCAATTAGTTTACAGAAGCATTCTCCATTCATCTGCCACTGGCCTGACCCATCTGTCAAATTGTAAAATGCAGTGTGGCCCCTGTGTCCAAAAGTTTCCTGGGGCTCCATGAGAAACTTTTCCTTCAAAAAGGGTTCTGCGGCTTCAAATGTTTAGGAACCCCTGGTTCAGACTGTCACATAATCCCTTCATTCCTTGCTGAAGGATTATTTGGAACTTTTGGGTATGGTTTACTTGGCATTGAATAAAGTTTTTCTCCTTGGACTGGATGGCCCATGAGGTCTCTTCCAACTCTTTGATTCTATGATTCCTTCTTTCAAATACCGTTGAGCCAGCCTGATGTTGTTTCACATGGATTCTCAGGTAGCTTTGAATTTTCCTTGGAATTTCAAGAGATCAACTGTACCTACCCATAAGTTTCTTTCTTGCTAATTCCTTATTCTGTCAACTCCATCCAAACATGTCAAGGGCACTTAAATTCACCTTGTTTGATGGTACCACCTAGTGTTTGCTAAAGGCATAAATGACTACCCTGAGATCTTTTGCAAGTGCTCAGTTATAATATTTTATTTGTATTCCGCCTTATCAGAAAAGTACTGTTTGATCACTTTTCAGACTTGTTTGTCAAGCCTTTCCAGGGAAAGGATTCTATGTGAGTGGCATTACAACTGGGAAGGTTGTTTTTTCTTTTTACCGCATTCTCTCAGCCTCAAAGGAAGGCAATCAAAACTCCCTCTGAACAAATCCTGCTAAGAAAATCTTGTGAAAATGTGGCCTAGGGTCCCATAAGTCAGAAACTACTTCAAGGCACACAATAACAATTTCCTTACCTTGGGGCTGAATTATGTGTCCTACATTTTGAAAAGTGTGCTTTGTACTGGCTCCTTCCTTCCTCCTTTCCTTGGAAAAAAAGCTGTGCTGAATTGTGCCTATGGTGCATGGTGTGTAGGTTAACATGTTCTTCCTGCTTTTTTCTTGAAATTTCTATTTGCAGATGGCTACAATGCACAAGTAGTAATACACAGCTGTTTAAACCTGTCACATTTACTCCCAGCTTGTGTATGTTAAAAGGTTATGGAACAAGACCTGTTGACACTATACATCCAGCTGTCTTTTCACTGTGATTTTTAAAAGCTGTCTAAAATGAAGAATCACCCAGGTAGCACAGGCATGTTGCTTATACACAGCAAAAGTTACTGTTATAATATTTCTGGAATTACTCTGAATAATTTCACAGACGGAAAGCTCATCTTTTAGTGGCAGTTTGTACAAAACAGTTTGCCCCAGTTAACAAAGCATTGGACAAATACAAGGATGGTTCATGTACTTGGTGTCAAAAACATTTCTTTTTCAAAAATATTTTTTTATGTTTACCTAGTTTTCTAAGGAGCCGCAGTGGTGCAATGGGTAAAACCCTTGTGCTGGCTGAACTGCTGACCTGAAGGTCAGGGGTTCGAATCTGTCCCAGCTTCCCATACGAGGACATGAGAAAAGACTCCTACAGGATGGTAACGGATCCAGGCATCCCCTGGGCAACATCCTTGCAGACTGCTGATTCTCTCACACCAAAAGCGACTTGCAGTATATTCTCAATTTGCCTCTGACACAAATAAAAAAAAGCAAAACAAACCCTGACCTTCTTATCCTTCTCAGCCTCTGATTAACTGGAAAGTTTAGCACCATCAGAATTGGGAAGATAGTGAAACAGAGTTGAAGACACTAGGGTTTTCAATGTTGGGTTGCAGCATAATAATAATAATAATAATAATAATAATAATTACTACTTTATTTTTGTACCCCACCTCCATCTGCCCGAAGGGACTCAGGGCAGCTTACACATGACACAAGTGCTTAAAACAATGCATAAATTAAACACACTATACAATAACAGGTAGAAAACAATAGCATATAAAACAACAATTTAAAACTCAAAATAACACCAAATAACCTATGGTGACAGCATGTCTAAAATACACAGGGCATTAAAGCTTGAGCTGGAGGAGAATGAGAGCCTCCTCTAGCCAATCTTTTTAGGCATGTGTGATCCATGGTTCTAAAGTACTTACAAAACTAGGGCCCCCTGATGCTTTGTTTTTAAAGTGTTTCTAAAGTTTTGATGATGAAAATTTCAGAAGTCTAACAAAACTTTCAAAATTTCACCACTGATAGCACACCAAATTTCAGAACGTTTGATGCTTCCATTGATTTTTGGTGAATTTTCAAAGTTTTTATAAAAAAAATTTTGTTCCTGGTTCAAAAGTGTTATTTCCTGTTTCATTGTGTGATCTTTACTCTAGAAGCTTTATTTCTGAGGTAGAAACTTTGTTAAATTGGTGGTGACCCAACAAAGCAAAATGTGCTATAGGGCAATGTCCCTTGCACAAAGACGAAGTTTTTGCAGTGTAATAAACTTTTGCCATGTTTTTATGACAGACCCAATTAGGAACTGCCATTTATAATGAAATTTTGAAAGTTTTGTTAGACTTCTGAAATTTTCACTACCAAAGCTTTAGAAACACTTTAGAAACAAAGAACCAGCGCCCCCTTGTTTTGTAAGTACTTTAGAAACATTTAGAACCATGGATTGCACATGCCTACTTATGAGTGCTTTCCTAAAACAGGCAAGGTAATATACCTGAACAGTAAATCAGAGAAAAGAGCAAAGAAAACAAGCCTGCCTTATTAGCAAATCTCCTCATGCTAAAGAAACATAGAGCTATATATTTGGCCACTAAAATGGAAATCATAAGAAACACGAAAGCTGGTGAAAAAGGTATCATCCCTGTATTCATTTTGGTATAAACCATCAACTGGATTTTAAAAGATTCAAAATGTTTTTGTTTATAGAAGACTTACCTGATCTAGTTGTTTTATTTCACAGTTGCATATTAGTTTGGGTTGCTAGAACATGTTGAATTTCTCTTTTTTTTGTGGAGTGAGAACCATTCTTACTCTTTTCATGTTATTGCAACCTCTGGAACCAAAAAATAAAATAAAGCCCAGGAACACATTTACTTAATTAACCACTCCTTGGGTTCGGTCACTTAACCAATTACAGATCCACCTAAGAGTAGCATTGTCTAGTCCACATTTGACTAGTTTCCTTGCAAGAAGATCATGGGGGACTTTGTCGAAGACCTTACTGAAATCAAGATATGCTACATCCACAGCACTCCCTGCATCTATCAAGCTTGTAATCCTATTTTAAAAATAGGTAAAATTAGTCTGGCACTACATGTTTTTGAAAAATCCATGTTGACTTTTAGTAATCACAGATCACTAAGTGACTGCAGATTAATGATCTGCTCCAGAATGCTTTCTGGTATTGATGTTAGGCTGACTGGATGGTAATTGTTTGGGTCCTCTTTTTTCCCTTCTTGGAGATAGGGACAACATTTGCCCTCCTCCAGTCTGCTGGGACTTCTCTTGTTCTCCAAGAATTCGCAAATATTATTGCCAGTGGTTCTGAAATTACTTCTGCTAGTTCCTTCAATACTCTTGGATGTAGTTCATCTAGCCCTGGAGACTGGAATTCATTTAGAGTAGCCAGGTATTCCTGGATTAATTCCTTACCTATTTTGGGTTGCATTTCTCCTATTACCTCTTCGGCTTCATACTGGTCAGGTTGAACACCAACCTCCTTTTTGGAGAACACTGAGGCAAAGAAGGTGTTGAGCACCTCTGCCTTTCCCCTACCTCCTGTTAGTATTTCACCACCTTCTCCATGTAGTAGCCCTACCATTTCCCTTTTCTTTCTTTTTTCCTTCCCCCCTTTTTTATTGTTTATAATATTTCTGGTAAGCCTGAGCTCATTTTGTGATCTTCTGTTCTGCCATTTTCCCTATCATTTACTGGCCCTAACATTCAGCTCCATGTCAACTGTGCAGATCAATTTGGTTATGAAAAATGACCCTTAAGGAAGAGAGAGGGAACTGAATACAATAGAAAAGGTTGTGTTGCAGAAGGCTTGCATCTGCAGCCCACTTCTGTTTGAATTCCATTCAAGCATTTTAACCATATAGAGAAGACCTGTTTGTGGCAGTTGAAAAACCACAGCTCCCATGCTATTCAAATAGCTATTTGAATGCTGTTATAAATGGCCATTTGAATTGTTTATAGCAGTATTCTTGTACTGGCACTTCCAGAGATTTAGTTTGGGGCGAACCTCTGGTGAAGCATTTTCCATGGGACTCTACAGAAAATACTGTGAAGCCTAGAACTCTGCTGCTCTTTTCTTGCATTCTGAAGTAACGAAAAGCAGACTAATGTTAGGAAACAGCAGTCGTAGAAGCCCCAATTATACAAACTGCAGCCCAGATTTTGCTGGAGAGGTCAGCAAGCTGGTCCTCATGGTTGCCTTGGCTATGGCCATCACTCTTGGAAACCTCTTGAGCCTCTTGGTTTTTCTTCATGTCAAGCAATTCAGAACTTCACAAGGCTATTGGAAGATCTCTTTGGCTCTATCTGACCTGGTGGTGGGGCTCATAATTGTGCCTTACTCAGTTTACAGAGAGGTGAACTGGTTGTCCTCTGGGATGGAACAAAAGGAAAATCAATCTGACCAGCTGGCCTGTATCATCATTGGCTCCAGCTTTACAGGATGCTCTTTTGTCTCCAATATCACTATCTTTTTGCTTTCAGTGGAGAGAAGTATAGCAGTACTGAAGCCCCTGCAGAAGAAAACAATGATCACCAGGCACAGGACTGTTTGGCTTATTGCTGCCTCTTGGACCTCAAGTTTCTGTTTGGCTGTGATACCTCTTGTTACCACTCCCGATATCACCTACCAGTACAATTTCTGTAGCAAGATGTGCAACTATTTCTTTCCTCCTGACAAGGTACCCAAACCTCATTGGAATGTCAGGTTGCTGGACCCAGTCTTTGACTTCTTCCTTTTGACTGCCACCCTTGCTATCAATGCAGTCACCTTTGTGGCCCTCCATCGATACTGCAAGATGCGGAAGCAACTATGTGAAGAGCCGCAGAGAGGCAACCACCTCTCCTTCTCAGACATCACAGCTGCCAAGACCATCGGCCTCCTGATCTTGGTCTACTATATTTCCTTCTTGCCTGTTGCTGTATTTGTGGTGGGGTCTGTGGTGGGCTATCCGTGGTGTCATTTTTCTTTTTATGCTTTTTGGATCCTAACTTCCAATAGCTGTTGGAATGTGGTCATCTATTGTGTTTGGGACCCTAAGTTCCGGCATGGGGTTCGAGAGCTATTCAGCAGCCATGCCTGCTTATTAAAATAGCACAGTTATGACACAGTTGATTTCCACCATTTTGACAGAGATAGCTGCTGTTATTGTGGTTGAAAAGATAGTTGCAATTTTCATATTCTAGTGTTTGTACGCAGTAATTCTGTTCTTTGTAAACAAATCTCTTTTTAGAAATATGTAATTTGTAGTGGCCAACCCTTTCTCTGTTATGTCATTCAGCAACTTATTAAATTTCACATTAATTTCAAATTACATAAAAGGATGCACTCCAATGGACAGCATATAAACACTCAATGAAATAAGGTGTATTTTGACAGTAAAAAAAGGTAAAGGTTTTCTCCTGACATTAAGTCCAGTCGTGCCCAATTCTGAGGGTTGGTGTTCATCTCCATTTCTAAGCCGTTTTGCCGTTGCCTTCCTGCCAGAGCGGTACCTATTGATCTACTCACATTTGCATGTTTTCGAACTGCTAGGTTGGCAGAAGCTGGGGCTAACAGCAGGAGCTCATGCCGCTCCCTGGATTCAAACCTGCAACCTTTTGATCAGCAAGTTCAGCAGCTCAGTGTTTTAACCCACTACACCACCGACAGTACAGAATAAAAAAGTAGACCTTAACTTATATAACTCTTCACCGTAATAAATTCATTAGATTTTAAGGTGTGGGGAGTCTCTTGTTTGATCAGATGTAAGTGCCATAACTTCCACACTTGAATGGGAAAAAAGATTATTGTAAAGTTACTAAAACGTTCTATCTATCTATCTATCTATCTATCTATCTATCTATCTATCTATCTATCATCTCGGTAAACCTTTTTGAATAATGACCTTATATTGAATTGTCAAAAACTGCACATCTTATTTTCCTAATTAAGCAAGATGTATTTCTCTCTCAAGAATATTCTGACATCATGAATGGTGACCTTTCTGGAATGTATTTACTATACTATAAACCTTCACAGTTTGGTATGACTACTTTTCCTGTGTGGTAAGTTTAACTTTTAAAGAGAACAACAATGTTTACTGGTTTGCATTATCTGTGTGGTTTTAATAATTGGTTTTAATGTTTAGATTTTAAAATTTGTTTATGGTTTTTAATGCACACGTCTTTTTCACTTTATGTCTGTATATGTGGCATTGAATTGCTGCCTGCTTGTATGCCACCCTGAGTCCCCTTCAGAGTGAGAAAGGTGGGGCATAAATACAGTAAATAAGTAAATAAATAAATAAACTCTTGATGACAAATGCTATTGTCTGTGTGTTTGCCTTCAAGCACCTTGTGACTTATGGTGATTCCATTTCATAGGGTTCTCTTAAGTAAAGAATGCTCTGCATATTATTTGAGAACACAGAAATGCTGGATGACTCTAACAACCACCATGTCAGATTACACAGAGAAGCCATTGAAATCCACAAGCATGTGGACAATTTCAACAGAAAGGAGGAAACCATGAAAATGAACAAAATCTGGCTACCAGTATTAAAAAAAAAACTAAAATTAGAACAGCAAAACAAGAGAGAGGAAACAAACAAGGACATCTAATCACCTCTCAACCAGGTAACACCTCCCAACAAAGCATTCCCCTAGGTAAGAAGCAGCCAGGTCTTGAAGCTGCAAAGCTATTAAATGCTAATCAAGCTGGCCAATTGCAACATTCACACCTGCCTCAAACAGAAAAGAGTTTTTCTCCCATTCTGGTCATTCCACAGATGTATAGTTTCCAACAGACCTCACAACCTCTAAGGATGCCTGTCATAGATGTGGACAAAAGTCAGGAGAGAATGCTTCTGGAACATGGCCATACAGCCTGGAAAACTCACAGCACCCAGTGATTCTGGCCATGAGAGCCTTCAACAACACAATACTCAGAGGTATTTTTTCTTCCTCTGAAATATAGTCTGCATTACCTGGTGTTCATTGGTTGTCTTCCATCCAACTACTAACCAGAGCTGACCCAGGCCCATTTCCATGATCAGACGGGATCGGATTTCTTAGGGTATTGCGGACACCCTCTGCTCTGGCTGCTCTACTCTCCGCAGCCACGCCGGGAGAACAAGCCCCCACAGCGCCGCTGTGAAAAGGTTTGGGACATTTGTTGTATCAGTGCCAAGTTTGCAGGTGAACTATAAATCCCAGCAAATACAACCCCCAAACACCACCAGTGTTCACATTTGGACATATTGAGTATCAGTGCCAAGTTTGGTCCAGATCTATCATCGAGTCCACAGTGATTTATGGAGGCAGGTGAACTACAACTCCAAAACAAAAGGACACTGCCCACCAAACCCTTCCAGTATTTTCTGTTGGTCATGGGAGAACTGTGTGCCAAGTTTGGTTCAATTCCATCGTTGGTGTGGGGTTCAAAATGCTCTGTATTGTAGTTGAACTATAAGTTCTTGTGTGGTGTTTTTTTTGTTGGTTTTTTCTATTTTGTTTTTGTCTTTTTGTTGAACTTTTGTGTGGGGGGGGTTTGTTGTTGGTCTTGTGCTTTTTTGCTATTTTTTGAATTCTGTTGCCAAATTTGGTTATTTCCATCGTTGGTTTCAAAATGCTCTGTATTGTAGTTGAACTATAAATTCCAGCAACTACAACTCCCAAATGACAAAATCAATGTTTTGTGTGAAGGACATACATTGGGTTGTTAGGTGTCTTCTGTCCAAAATTGGTGTCAATTCGTCCAGTGCTTTTTGAGTTCTGTTAATCCCACAAACAAACATTACATTTTTATTTATATAGAAGTGTGGGTTTTTGTTTTTTGATTTGGGGGGGGGGGGTTGCACTGCAAATAATATATGTGCAGAGTGCATAGGAATTCATTCATGTTTTTTTTCAAATTATAATCCGGCCCTCCAACAGTTTGCGGGACTGTGACCCGGCCCTCTGTTCAAAAAGTTTGGGGACCCTGGTACAGAGCACTGCTTCTTAAATTGTGGATCCCAACCCCACTCCACTTTGGCAGAAAAAATGAAATGCAAAGATACAGAATGGGTGACGACTGGCTCGAGAGCAGTACGTGTGAAAAAGATCTTGGAGTCCTCGTGGACAACAAGTTAAACATGAGCCAACAATGTGATGTGGCGGCAAAAAAAGCCAATGGGATTTTGGCCTGCATAAATAGGAGTATAGTTTAGATCCAGGGAAGTCATGCTACCCATTCTCTATTCTGCCTTGGTTAGACCACACCTGGAATACTGTGTCAAATTCTGGGCACCACAATTGGAGATATTGACAAGCTAGAATGTGTCCAAAGGAGGACAACTAAAATTATCAAGAGTCTGGAGAACAAGCCCTATGAGGAGCAGCTTAAATTGCTGGGCATGTTTAGCCTTCAGAAGAGAAGGCTGAGTGGAGACATGATAGCCATGTATAAATATGTGAGGAGAATTCATAGGGAGGAGCGAACAAGCTTGTTTTCTGCTGCCCTGGAGACAAGGATGTGGAACAATGGCTTCAAACTACAAGAAAGAAAATTCCATCTGAACATTATGAAGAAGTTTCTGACAGTGAGAGATGTTCAGCAGTGGAACTCTCTGCCCTGGAGTGGGGTGGAGGTTTCTTCTTTGGAGGTGTTTAAACAGAGACTGGATGCCCCTTTCTCGGGATGCTTTGAATGCGATTTTCCTGCTTCTTGGCAGGGGGTTGGACTGGATTGCCCTCGGGGTCTTTTCCAACTCAATGATTCTATACTCTTATCACATGCGTTACTGTAGTTATGTATCTTCAGAGCAACCTATCCTTTTGCAGAAGCTATCATGGTTTGTTTTTTTTTGGGAAGATTTATTCACAGTGATGGTATTAGACAAGTAAAGATTCAACTGCATGCTTATCCATTTGAGTGAGTATGAACAACTCTACTTTTATAATAGCTGCTGTCAGGTTGTTATGTTCTGGGCCTTCATTTGTTTCTGGAATATGGCAACCCTAAGTGAACCTATCACTTAATCTTCTTGGCATAACTTTCAGAGGGTGTTTGCCATTGCCTTTCTCTGGCACTGGAAAAGCATGACTTCTCCAAGACCACCCAGTGGATTTCCATGACTGAGAATCTGAAACCTGGTCTCCTAGAGTCCTAGTCCCAATGCTCAAACCACTACACTGTGCTGACTCGTTGGCAGATCAGGGCAATTGTAAAAATAATGAAAAACTCATTTTTGTCATAATGTTTTTAAAGTATATTTTGGTGCTCATGGGAGTATTGTGAGTTAGACATTGGTATTACTACACAAGAGACATTCCCCCCTGGCCCAAATAAAATGAAGGCTGGCTAGTGGTATTTTCCATTTCATCGTTGCTGTACTTAGGTGCAGGGTGTTCGTTTTAGGCAAATGCATTCTCAGTTTGTCAGCAGCCTCAGCACTTATGGGATTTCTAATTTGCATGGGCTTCTGGGAATTATAGTGATGCTGTGAGCTGTATTGTTACAATAAGCAAAGTAGAGAAATTGCATTTCCTTTCCATGTATTGGATGCTTATAATAGATAAATATTTGGCTGTTTTGAGTGTTTGATTAATTTGACTGTTTGAGTGTTTTATTATTGTACCTATCCTGTGGGTCAAAAAGCAGATGTGGGGACTGGGGTGGCTAGATTTTTTCAATGTAAAATGTTCCTCCTTTTCTTATATGCCACAATCATAATTCAGTTTACCACCCATCCCACATGGCTGCTTGTGTTTTTCTTAATATGTGATATTAAAATGAATGATATTAAATGTAACCATGTACATTGTATGTAATTTGATTTTTATTACTGGTAATTCATATCCTGCCTTTCTGTGAAAAATCTGTTTGAAGTATCTGAGATGGTTAGCCCTCCAGATGCTGTTGAGCTGAAGCTCCCAACAGCTGGAGCTATAGTAAGAGATGCTGGGAAATGCAGTCCAACAACAGCTGAAGGGCACCATATTCCATAGTGATGTATTATGACAGAACTTAAATGGAAAATAGAAACTATTCTAGAATGAGTGGAGACGAGAGACAGGGCCTTCTCAGCAGTGGCCCCCCGTCTGTGGAACTCCCTCCCTAAGGACATCAGGTTGGCCACCTCCCTCCTATCCTTTAGAAGACAACTGAAGACCTGGCTCTGTGGCCAGGTGTTTGATTAGATGATAGTGACAATAGGAAAGGAATTTGGGTTGCGACACTGGATTTCCCGGTTTGATTTTTGGTTTTACTGGCATTTTAATATTATCTGATAAATGAATGTATTGGCTGATGTGTTTGATGTTTTAAGATGATTTTACTGTTTTATTGTATTCTTTGATGTATATGCTGTAAGCATCGTTGATGGCTATGTGAGGCCACTCTGAGTCCCCTTGTGGAGAGAAGCGTGGGATAGAAATGTACGAAATAAATAAATAAATACATGAGCATGAAACCCAGATTCAATCCTGAATTGATTCCTGTCTATCCAATGGTGTTCCAGTACTTCTGGTGAAGATTACGGGCTAGCCTGGGTTAAATTGGCTTTGCCCTGCTTCAGGTAAAGTCAGAGGAGCTTGTTGGAATCTCTAGAGTATTCCATGGCTTTGCGGCAGTGTGGATACCTGGATCAGGTCTGATGGATGGACTATACCTGTGTTACCACCACTGCTCCCATTTATCTATAGGGTTCTGTGTCAACTCCTGGCTGTTGCTTCTCCCAGCTGGCCACAGAGCTCCATGCAAGCTAGTACTGGTTATTGTCGGCACACAGTGTGTATATTAACACTTATCTTCATATTCAATGGTTATCTGTGCTGATAGTGAGAGTCACACTCTTAACCTAACATCTATGTATGGAAATAGAACACAGTGTGTAGTCTGTGTTTAGTTCCCACTAACCACTAAAAGGCTGTGGTTGGAATGCTCTATGGCAGTAATGAATGCATAACCTAGTTACTTGATGATGATTATCACAGATTCACAGCCCCTAGGGGCCACATAAGGACCATGAAAGTCCTCCAATCTTTGCTAACTGGTAAGTAACCCCTGCAATCAATGGAGGTCTGTTCTCTCCTCTTCTACTTCTCTTGCTTTTCACCTGATGTTCTTAAAATGGTTTGGACTTCTGTCTGTTTTAATTTATGGAGCAACTGTTACTCCAGTCCTTCTCAATTTCTCCCTCCCTCCTTTTGGATGTTCATGCTGGATTTAGAATGAAACAAAATCCCTTTCCCAGCAGAGATTACATCAAAAGGAGGAGGAGACCTCAGCCTTAGCGAAGGTTTAAATTAGGTTTTCCAATGGCACCATCTAGTGCTCTTTGAAAGTATTGTAGTAATTCAATATTTTGCAAAAATACACATTGACCTGGCCTGTGGACACCTCTCTACCTCCAGATCTTCTTTTTTGCCCAAGCCATAGCTCCAAGATCTAGATAGATCTCCAATATCAATCCAGATATCAGAAATTTAGCCTGTCTCTTAAAGAAATCCTGATGCTTATGGTTATTCAATTTTTGCAATGCATTATTTAATCCTGATTAAATGTCTGACTGGAACCCCTACAATCACTTAGTTGCAGAATTCACTAATTGTTGTATAATTTTTCCATAGATACAGACTGAAGCTTAGGGTAGGAGTTATTTATGGGGCAGAATAAAAAGGATGCCTTCCCTGCCCGTCTCCCAAGTGGGAATAGGATAAGAGGGATTATTTGTTGTTATTTTCTACCAAATCATCACCATATAGTGATCTTATGAATAAGAGACTGGCAAGAAATCCTGCCGTGTCCATTTGCAACATTCACACCTGCCTCAAACAGACAAGAGTTCTTTCTCCCACCCTGGACATCCACAGATATATAAACTCCACTTGCCTAGTTTCCGACAGATCTCCCAACCTCTGAGGATGCTTGCCATAGATGTGAGCAAAACATCAGGAAAGAATGCTTCTGGAACATGGCCATTCAGCCCAGAAAACCAACAGCAACCCAATCCTGCTATTACCCTTGTCAAGCATTGCAAACTTGAAGATATTATTGCTCATTGAATCAGTGCCTATGTAATGTGGTTTTTGTCTTTTCCTTCAAATATTCCCAGTATCATCTTCTTCTTCAATGAGCCGTGCTATCTCATAATGTCTCCGAAGTATAATAGTTTCAGTTCAGTCATTTTGGTTTCTAAGGAGAGTTCAGGCTTGATTTCCTCTTGAAACTGTATATTTTTTCCTTATTTTTGTGGCCCATGGGATCTATAGAAGGCTGCTTGAGTACCACATTTAAAGGAGTTGTTCCTTTTTCTGTTAGCTTTCTTTACAACCAGACACAGAAATTGGAACAGATAGATTCTGACTTTGGTCTTCCACTTTACGTTTCATTTAACACCCCCTTCAGAACGACATAGTATGTTGGGTTAAACAGTCATTGACAATTCAATGGTTATGGTGACATTTTTCATCTCTAATGGACACGATGCACAATTTAACGCTATTAGCTTCCTCCAGCTCTTTCTGAATTTTTCATTCTGTTCAGCTTCTTATTATCAGGGAAGGGAAAGGCAGGAAGGGAAATAAAAATAAGACTCTTTTAACAGTGAGCGGGTACATAGGAGTGATTGTTGTTATTTCTATGACATAATTTTGATAATTGTGGGGTTTTTTTTATCTTGTCTAAGGGGCATAATAAATGTATTATTTGACCTTTTGGACAAATGAAGTTTTTTAATGGGTATTTTCCTTTTTTTTGTTTATTATGTTATTAACAACATGACATAGTGTAGTGATATAATGTAATTATTTTTAACAGCAGAAACAAGAAACTCGCTGGGCATTGCAAACATTTTTACACTCCAGTACCTTATATAGTTCCTTTATAGCTGCACTTTTCAGATCTTCTGATTTGTTGACTGCATTCTCCAATTTACTGAAGTCTGGGTCAAAGTATAGAACTCTGTTCACTACTTTTGATGTCTTTATCATCCACATTAAAGTTATGGGGTGTATAAGGGCACATGCCTTGCCCATGGGTGCCAACAGTGGTGATCTCATGTTATACAGAAAATATATGTACTAATTTAGCCTCAAATATGTGAGTCCAATGAAGCTCTAGGGCCCTCACAGATCAGCCCACATACCAAAACAAATTGGAAATAGGTTTGAAAAACCAGTTGTAAAACAGTGCAAGGAGCAGTGTGACTTGAATTCAACCAGGAGTAGCTACTCACACTATCCTTTAGCCTAAAGAAGTAGGTGATACCACTAAAACCAGTTTTGAGGTCATATACAGCCCCAGTTTCCCCATGCCTGGCTCATCATACAGAACTATGGCTAGTTGTCCATGCGCACACCTTGAAGCCTTCTTAGGCTGGATTTATGCTATTTGAAACTGCATTATATGGTCAATGTAGACTCGTATAATGCAGTTCAATGCAATTAGTTATATAAGTTTGCACTGACCATATGCAGTTTCAAACTGCACTATATGGCAGTGTAGATAGGGACTAAATCACGCAAATTTTTGCCAATCTCTCCCTTCATATATGCTGGTGTAATAAATCACACCACCCTCTAAATCTGTGTGTGCATTTGGATGTATTTAAACTTCATAATTTAACTGCTGGAGACTTTTAACTACTATGATCTGTAGTCTGGTAATGTACTGATTTCACTGCTAGAGAATTCTATTTACCTTTTCAGATTATGAATCCTAGAATTCTGTAGAAGAGGGCTATGCCATTTGAAGTGGCATCAAAGTGTTATAATTGTTGAGTGGAGGGTACATTTTAAAATGCCTTCAAAAGCACTCCACTTCATGTGATACATAAAACACAGAAAACTATGTAGGCTTCTTCTTCTTCTTCTTCTTCTTCTTCTTCTTCTTCTTCTTCTTCTTCTTCTTCTTCTTCTTCTTGCTTTTAGCTCAATGCAAGATGTCTTGTGTTTAAACATTCTGGATCAGAAATGGTGTGGTGGAAGAACATGATGGAAATGCACTTGAACTCCTAGAATCCATTTGGAGGCATGGTGGTGGTGTTATTTTTTTTTAAAAAAAAAGAAATAAATACTCTTATGGCTCCTCTCAGTTACAAATCCCAGAAATCTACTGGGCCATTAAGAATATCTAAATGGTATTAGCTGGTGCAGAATTCAGTGTTACACAATTAGAAATCCTTGCCATGGTATGCTCACATGACAGGATTTTCTCCCTCTTACACTCATGACAATCCTCAAGAATTTTCTGTGGAATTCTTCCTGCCCCGTATAGCAGATTTTAAGTCTTCTGAAGAATACATAAAGTTAGCAGAATCACACATTTGTGGCTTTGCTGTTCCATTAGCAGAAACGTTTTGAACCTTTGTTTTGTTCACTTGTTGCCTGAAACGGCTAATTTCTCTCTCAATTCAAATCAATTTTTAAAAACTAAGGCTGAAACCTCATGTACATTTGTTAAAAGGAAAAAAATACGATTGCAATTTGACTTATTTTTAAGTAAATATGCCCCAAATTGGGATTTTTTCAAAGAGAGAGAGAGAACAAGGAATAACCAAAGTCAAAGAGACTCATCTTGATTTGATTATGTGACTTTCCGTCAGAGCTGGCCGTGATTACATCTAGTCATCAAATTGTCGGCAACCCTGCCAAAGTAGTGTTGCTACAGTGTCATTATTAATGTAGCATGCACAGAACTTTACTTCCTTGCAGTCAAATGCTTCAAGCATTGACTGGCATCAACTCTGCTTGCTATGCTTATAAAAAGACAATTAAGGGTTTACTTCTGCAGTGATACCCATTAATCCAGAAAAAACATCAACAGTGAACATATGGGGACTTGAACTGGCAGATGGGCAGAAGAGAGATGTTGAACTTCCAGTGACCCAGGTTCTGCTTCAACGTAAGCCGGTGCTCTTTCGAAGGCAAAGAATCCAGCTTTGGGAACAAAATCCATCCTGGGAAGAAGGAAAAGATAAGAGCATTAAAAGTGCCTGTTGTATTAGGCTAAAGGTTCATCTTCTTTAGCATTTTCTATGCAGAAGGGACCCCTGGGAAGCCCCGGCAGAGCCTGAAGGACAAAAAAAAATAGCTGCTATGACACAATATGGGGACCATACAGGATTTCCCCAATGTGGCATTTTTCTTGAATGTATGTGAAAGGGTGTAGACCTGACATATGTTTGGATTTCCTAGTATTACAAGCAAGGCCATTGGAATCAAATTTTTCTTGAATGTATGTGAAAGGGTGTAGACCTGACATAGGTTTGGATTTCCTAGTATTATAAGCCAGGTCATTGGAATCAAATTTGTGCCCTTCAACATGGCATTGATGAAAACTGGGAAATGTATGGCCAAGGAATGACACATTGTGTCAATAACAAAAATAAGGAAAGCACACAAACTACCAAAGATTGCATCGGTTTGCTTTTGCCAAAACCTACAGAGAAAGGTAGGTGTTCTGTTGTGCGCTGGGCCTGTAAAGAATTTCCTTTAGAACAGGACATGCAACCTTTGCCCAGTGGGAAACCAGGGGGCCCAAGGAGAAGTTCTCAGAGGTTTTCTACCACAAATGATCTTTAGATGGCTTGTGAAGTATAACAAAGTCTTTTATTAATGAACAAGATTATAGTTGGGACCAGTAAGAGACCAATGTGAAAAATTAGTCGTCATGACTCACAAAAGCCTAATTTATTTATTATTTATAACTTTTTTATTCTGTTCTTCTCTACCTCCGTGGAGGGACTCAGAACGGCTAACAGCAAAAATTCAATGCACAATAAATAACATCATAAAAACAACATACACAATAAATAAGTTCTAAAACACATATAAAAACAATTCATCAAGTTAAAAACATCATCCAACTCAATCCAAATGTTGTCCATTAACTCTTAGTCTATACCACATCATCCATCAATCTGTGAATGCCTGATTCCAAAGCTGGGATTTTAACTGACCATGTGCATTTCTGATTTTATTTCAGAGAGACGGAAGCACAGAGATCAAATTCAATATACAGCAGCAACAGTTTAATTAACACTGTATGCTAGGCAGAACTAAATTAGAATTTCACTTTTAAATTTCATACAATCCTGGAAATCAGTTACAGTAGAGTCTCACTTATCCAACCTTTGCTCATCCAACCAGTCTGTCTCCCACTCGGAATAATGTTCAGGGTGGGAGAAAGAAAGCACCTTTGTCTGTTTTGTTGCTAAATTTGTAAATACAGTAATTACTGCATAACGTTACTGTGTATTGAACTGCTTTTTCTGTCGGTTTGTTGTAAAACATGATGTTTTGGTGCTTAATTTGTAAAATCATAATGTAATTTGACATTTAATAGGCTTTTCTTTAATCCCTCCTTATTATCCAACATTTTCGCTTATCCAACATTCTGCTAGCCCATTTATGTTGGATAAGCAAGACTCTATTGAATATTCCTAATTCTGGGCACCCCCAGTCATTTTTTTCAAGCAAACTGTGTTAAATTCATCAACATGTAAAAGGTCAATGTACACAATTGTGGGAAAAAGGCATGGGACATTAGGCTGCAACAAACCTCAAGTTTTTAGGCATGAATCAGCCAAAATAAAATATGTAAAGTCCCGTAACAGTAAATGTTCACAAGTAATAGAAGGTAGTATTCCCTGGATTCTTGCTTTGGATAATATCCAGGGATGGGTTTGTGTAATTTTCATTAGCTATTGTATAAGACTGTATATGGGAATGATGTGACCTTTTTGCAATTGTAAGCATTCATGTTACCATTGTTTATAACAGCAAGAGATGGAAAGAGGTGAACATCATCCAGATTCATGACTTTATGCCAGATGTCAGCATTGAATACCAATAAAGGATACCCAGTTATGTTGAAGAAACAACTATTACAATATGAGGACGGTTAACTTTTACATAGTTTAAAAATGTCTAGATAGACAGGATAATTACATTCCACCCTATTATTCAATGTGACATATTGAACATTTTGTTTAATATATAGTTCAGTAAGCCAGATATGTTTTATTCATATATATAATTATATAACAGCATGTAATATTAGAAATTTCAGTCTACAGATGACAGCCACCCTACTTGATATTTCTTCCATTTTCTCCTCTGATAGCAAGAGTTAAAGTGAGATGTGAAAACTGATGAAGAAACTGCATTAACACAATGCAACTTTCTCTGTCAAATATTTGCTGATGCCTCACCAAGCTACAGCTCCCATGGTTCCATAGCATTGAGGCATGGCAGTCAAATGACCTCATCAGATGAGGGTGAAATAGATGACTTGAACCACTTCGCCTTTTCCTTTACGACAGAGCCTACTGGCTCCTATTACATGACACATACAACTTCCAGCGGAGCTCCATCTTAAAGAAGAAGGCGAACCACTGCATGCCACCAAGGCAGCAACACAGGAGGCTTCCCATGCGGCCTTGGATCAATGAGGTGAAGCCAGGCGACAGATGGTTCCCTTTGTGGGATGTGAACATCAGTGAGTTGGGTGATGTGGGGCATGGGGCAACAGGTTCCGCACGCCCCCAGACGGGCACCAGCGGAATTGCCATGATGTGTGGAGATTCTGGCAGCGCACGTGAAGAGGTCCAAAGTGATGTCAAACTGCAGTAGTTCTATAGCATGCATGCACCCTAAATTACATTAAACCCTGAATTACCAAATTGTTCACAGTTTCCAAAATCTATTCAGTTTAGTCCCCTGGCTGACTATCTTATCTCTATTACAGCTTTTCCTTTTTCTGGACCATCTTTCCCCTGCATCTCTGAAATCGGCCTTTTATCAGTCCTGTTTCAGAGGCAACTTTTAGTTTTGTATCCTTTCTCTCCCATATGCCACAGCATTCCTTGAGTTGTGGTAGGCTGACATCATCCAGGCTTGCCCACCTCTTTCCTTTTCATTAGCAATCTCACTCATTAAAGGAGTGGATACCTTTGGTTGCCATCTAGTTTGATTTTGTCCAGCAGAGACCTCATCCAGTGCTCGTTTTTTAAATTTGAAAGGAAAGCTGATCTCTTTCCTGCCCTGTACCATTTTTCTTTAGAGATAATAATCTTATATTCAAATTCTGATTCAGGTGATAAATGGTATGTAGCCAAAATTGCATTACCGTTGTATCAGAGAAGTGGTCTGGGGTTCATTGAAGTATGGGAACCAACTGTGATGGACAAAACAACTTATGTGGTTTATTACAGAGGATACAGTTGCCAGATTTCACCCCTGCAGACCCATAGCAAGTCCTCCAAATGGCTAAAAACCAACTGAAAACTGACTTGCAAAATTCAGGTTTCTTTTATTGTTTTTTAAGCTTGCAGGTTTTTCAAGGTAAATGATGGGTGCATGTATTCTTTAGAATTAATGCAGTGTGGCACCACTTTAATTGCCATGGTTCGATGTTATGGAATCCTGGGAAATGTAGTTTTAAAAGTTCTTTTACCTTCTCTGCTAAAAAGTACTGGTACCTCACCAAACTATTTTGGTATCCATGGGGGATCCTTGGACCAAACCACAGTTGATATTTTTAAAAACCCACCTATAGCTAGCAAGCTCCAAAACAGAGTTTGGTATTAAGCAAAAGTATCCTAGGTTTCAGTTACTTAATCTGTCATGGGCGGACACTGGGTGCAGCCCTTTGTCACCAAGAGTTTCTTTGATTAATCACATTAAATAATATATGTAGGCATCCTGTTGCAATGAAGATCTCTTACAAAGCCTCTGAGTGACATTATTATCCTATACAATAGGCTAGAAACTAGTGATTATCTGTTAGCTTGATATCTTTGTGGACTGGAAAGAGAGGTTGGAATGTAGCACAGATGTATAGTGGCGGCTAAAGGAAGAAAATGAAACCAGTTTGTGGACCGAGAACTGCACTACACATTAAAAGAAGCATTGAAATGTTGATTTTGAGCGATTTACAGTTCCAGATAGGATGGTTAGAAGAAAAGCAAATCAATTCCAAACAGGACAGCTGCTATGAGTATTGATAAAAGAAACAAACTGAAAAAGAGAAGAAGAAACAGAGAGGGAAATAGAATAAGCTCAGTATAAGGAGAGAGAGCCAGTGTTCTGTATTGGTTTGAGTGGTTATGACTCTGGAGATCAGAGTTTGATTCCCTGTTTGGCCATGGAAACCCACTGAGTAAACTTGGGCAATCCATACATTATCAGCCTCAGAAAACACCATGATAGACCTTAGGGTTACCAGAAGTTGGAAGGCACACAGCAAATGTGAAGACCCATATCTTGCAGGAGAGAGGAAAATCTGCAACAGTAGAAACAATGTGAATACAGCATGGTGTAGTAATATGCGTGTTAGGCCCCAGCTACACAAGCACTAAAATCTAGCTTGAACCCAGCTCTAGGCTGGCGTGTCTAGAACCTCCTCCCCCCCCCCCATGTGAGCTCCGAAGCAAATCCAGCCAGAAACAGCATGATAAATGCCAGATCAATCACCATAAATCCCAGATCAATCCATAAAATCTGCTGAACTCCTGTGTATAAAAAGTGCAAAGGCAGAAGCCGAATGCCAAACACAGAGCACTTGTGTAAACAGAAATAAGAAAGCAGTTTGAGTAAACAAGCAGATAAACATCTCAGTCAGAAAGTCAAATTGACTGCCTTGTTTCACTCTGAGGCAAGCCTGGGAAGCTGTCTCTGTGAAAAGATAAGAAAAAAGTAATCCTGGGTATCAACTGAGTCAATTAATCTTGCAGTTGCTTAGCGTGGTGCATGCATAGACACTCCAGAGTGAACTAGATCTTTATTACCCACATTCTGCTCTGGATTCACTGCCTGTGTAGAAGCAGCCTTAAGGACCTCATCAGATGGGCAGGGGAAAAACAGGGGAAAGTATGGAAATGTGTGTGTGTGGGGGGGGGGGCAGGGATGGGGGATGGAGGGACCCATCCTCCTTTATTCCCTACTGTCTTTCCCT